ATATTGTTTGTCTCGAGTCGGGACCGGAGTCTCGTACGCTGACATATCCTTGGGCACACTGCACTGCTGTGGCTTTTTAAAGCAAATTACACCTAATGAATTATTCATGTCCAACATTTGGTTTAAATTAACTTTTACAGATTTAACTGCCGTGTGTCCTTTAAGACTGAAAGACGAAATGAAACAGACCATCAAAACAAAGCACTGAATTTAGCTCAATCCCTTTGCTAATTCACTCAAAAAAAGACAAGTGTGTCTCTTTTCTGCACAGTAAAATGTGTGTTTTTTAAGTTTGTGCCATCACTGTCTATTGTAAATACGCACGGTAAGTTTGCAGTGCATGAAGAATGTCGAGGTCACCGCAAGGACAAAGTCGTAGCTTTTGATTGTCTGTTCACAGTATATTCATGAACAAATTTCTTTTAGAACAAATTAATTATTGCTACAGTTATTGTTATTGTAAGGTTCATAAATGAAGAACGATTTATGCTGAGTGGACATTGAACAGTGAAGTGGAATATTGCAGGAAAATATGTAAACTCATATGTTCAGGTTAATTTGTTAAAATATTCACAGTGCTTACCTGAGCGACAGTTTACATTTATGTTAACAGATTTATTATTTGTACATTTTTTCATTTGTGTGTGCACAAGCAGCGAAGTTAATCGGTGAATCTGCTGTTTTATGATACGCTTGCATTTGCCTAGTTTGGCTCTGCTTCCTCCTGATTGGTTAGTTCGGTCAGGTGACAGTGTGTGTGTCAGGAAGTGTTGTGGACGCCGGCATGTGAAGAGTAAAGATCGCTGTTTTGAGTAAGAAATCCGTCTCCATCCTGCTGTCTCATTATTAATCAGAGTGATCCATTAACCATCAACAAACCCTCACGTTACATTATCATCATCTTGAAAATATAGAATCTGATACTTTTCAAGGCAATTAATAAGTAAAGCCCCTATCGTTTAATCATCTAACAAATATTTACTTAAAATATAGCTTATTATGTGTTGATAATTCAATTTTTTTTTTATAGTTAGATGGATATAATCCTACTACGAAGACCCTGTCAGCCTGCAGCCTCCTTCCTGCTGACAGCTGAGCAGACAGATGGGAAACATGCCCCAGCAAGTTACACTAAAAAATATATTTTAGTATTTGGCAATTTATTTCACTTCTTTTGTGTTTCAGTTACTGATCACTGGAACGCTTGGTGAAAGTTTACATGAACATAAGAAAGTAAAAAGTAGATATTTTCCCTGTTTGGAAACTAATTCAACCTCATTAAATGCATTAGATACAAAGTTGAATTTACTCATTTACATAAACTATTTAAGTTGCAAACTGTGTTTTTATGCGTTGCATTGCAGAAAAGTGTTGGCAATTCCATCAGATAAAATAATGTGTGTAATTTAAGTTCAAATGTTGGCATTACTTGATTCTAAAACTCAATTCAAGTTGAGGTAACTTAATGAAATTGGCTTTACAACTGAATCGTCTTTACTCAGAGTTTAAGATCCTCCAGTGTCTAAGCATTCCTAAACATTTTTAGATGGTTAAACATACCATTGACTGAAAATAGTAATTAAATTAAGCTGTCTTTACTAAAATAAAATTTTAAAAAACTGACACCAACTGTTGCATCTTTTTTTTTTTTTAGCCCAAACATTATTCTTTAGACCCTGCAGACTATTTAGATTTTCTTTGAATTCCTCATTTCATTTCTTTTCCATGTATCAGCCTTGTTAAATCTGTGAGTTACTTTTCATTACACACCAGCCTTTTATGTGTACACTCTAAAAGGTAATGCCTGTGCTTACTCTAATCACATTGGTGTACTTTACTTGTTTCTCATTGTCCTGTTCATTTAACTCATGGGCTGTGAGTATTTACTCATTCATCCTTAAAGAGTGATAACACTAAGTACACTTGAGTAAACTGGACCTGAAACGTTCTGTTCCTGGACTGAACACAGAGCTCAGCACATGTGCAGTAGAGAAGTGCAGGAGAAGTTTCCAGAAACTTTACGGGGCGGCTGTGGCTCAGGTGATAGAGCGGGTCGGTCAGCGATCGGGTCGATTCCACCCTGCAACCTGTGTCATGGTCATTGTGTCCTTGGGCGAGACACTTCACCCACCTTGCCTGGTGTGACTGCGTTTGAATGGATTATCTGAGATGGTGGTCGGAGGGGCAGAATGGCAGCCATGACTCTGTCAGTCTGCCCCGGGGCATCTGTGGCTACACCCATACCTACCACCACCAGGATGAATGTGTGTGAATACATAATTGACAATAAAGTGACTTTGAGTATCCAGAAACGCGCTATATAAATCTGACCAATTATCATTTACGTTTCTAACCCTTGGGAAGATCAAATTCATTATACTTGCTATTTTTAAGTTCACAAAATTAAGTAAATACAGCTAACTTTTAAGTAAACTTTACAAGTCGATATAAATGAATTAAAGACTAATGGTTATATCTACTTACCTTTTTCGAGTGCAAACCGGTTTCCTAGACTCGTTTAAATAAGATCAACTGTTCACATTTTACAGTGTACAGGGGCTACTGTCTCTTTAACACCTTTTCTGTCTGGAAATCATCTCGTGGGAAACTCCGACTGCTGCTCAGATGTATACAAACAACAGTTTTATGTGAATGATCTCATCTGTTTGTGGTCAAACGGGCGAAGCTACTTGCTAAAAGCTTCATGAGTAATATGTAAATTAGGCATCCTCTTAAACAATGTTTTACTTTTGTTCAAATCTTTTTTTTCATTTGTCTTTGATTAACGCCGACAGAAATGGTTTTGTTCTGTGCTGAATATGTTGTTTGTTGTCTGTGAGGCGTCAACATGGTCTTTACAAATTAGTTGATTCCTCTTCCTCCACTCTGAGTGTTTTTTCTCTGTTTTATATCACTGTTAACATGTTTTGGTTTTTGGACTATTGCTCACACATAAGATGTCCCTCTGGAAAACTGTGATGGGCATTTTTGGACATTTTATACAAAAAAAATAATAAAAACTAAACCTCAAAACCTGCTGGTGATCATGAAAAATAACCAAATCCACTTTAAAATGTTAATATTTCCTCAAAATCCCTTTTATTCTACATCCATCCAGTAGGGTCGCAGGGGGGTTGGACTTTATTCTACATGTCTCATTAAAAAAAAAAAAAATCACAAAAAAACAAACCATTGCTATCAGATCCTGTAGAAAGCAAAAAAAATCTGCACTTCTTGATGCAACTGCAAATCGTCACGTAACTAAAATTCTGTAATTATCTCTGTAGTAACTCCAGGCTGTGTTTGCACAGAGCAGAGAGGAGATTGAAAGGAAAATAAATATTTGATCGATAAATTCAATGCAGCATGGCTCGAAACTGGTCGACAGAGAGGCATGGTGGTCAGCAAGCTGTTGGTTGCATGGTGAAACATCTGATGTGCTGTAAAAATGGACAATTTGTAGAGATTGTAAAAATGCAAGCAGATATAATCAAATAGCCACATTGCAGCACGTGGAACCCCCTTTTCTTTAATACCCGGAACACCTGTGGGCAGTTTTTTCATGGCATTGTGACTGCAACATACTGAACAACAGACATTTTTGAGTTCTCTCTGCTTCGAGTCATGTTTGTGCTGGACTTTATATTGCACTGAAAAGTGAGCCCACAGTGAGAAAAACTGTGACAGACATCAAAAAACATCCAGAAATCATGTCGAGTTATTCGGGTTAAACAAACAAATCTGCTGTGAAACTAAAGATAGCTTTAGCCCTGTTTCTAACCCAGGAATATGATTGTCTATTTGATGTTGTTTGGGTCATTTCTATTTGGTGTTTAAGTCTGTAACTTAGGTGAAACTACATCATCGTGCACTTTGTGTTTTGGGCTGATGAGAGGTTTGATATAACTGCGTACATCCTGACATAACTGTTCAACCACGCTTGAAGTCAACAGCGATCAGACACATGAACTTTGATCTTTACTTGAAGACTCCTCTCTTTAACTATTGATGAGATTGTAAGTGGTCCACTTTCTCTGCTGCCTCCTCTCCTTCTCTTCTTCCTTCACTTCCTGATTGTTATTTCAGGTGGAGACGAGCGGAGACGAACCTCAGACTGGATGCTGTTCCCTCCACCAATATGGCTTTATGTATTATTAAACACTGCATGTGGTCTCCGACAGAAACCCATATTGTTAGAGGTCTGGGAGGTGTGCCGTGTTTGCGGTAAAGGAAGTGCAGGCCGAAGTTGGCTCCTGCGATCCCACATTTATCACCCGTAAGGAGAACAGTCACCTCAGTCACTTCTCATAAACCACAGAGGTCCGCTGTGATTTATGCAATCGTTAGAGGATGATGCTCGAGCTCATCTACCAGCTTTACTGCATTCTTCTCTAAACCAAAGCGGTTAAATCTGAAGCTTCACCTTGGCTCAATTAACTATTAGCACTTGTAAAAAAGCGTGCAGATCGTGGTATTACTAAATAAAATCCACAGAGAGAATCAGTGGGATCTTAAGACTTTTATATCCCCCTCTCAGTAACTGAGCCATTATCAAAAACAGTCCTCATCCTCACAACGTTTACGGGCTCCTTTGGGTTTCCTTTCCCAACTGTAAAACTTGTGTGTTTAGTTTTTCAGGGCATTATCTGTGCAAAAGAAACCCTAACCTTAAAATGTCAATTTTCATCAAGCAAACTCTAGATCTGGCCCTGATGGATCACGTCTTTCGATCTCAGATCTGGCAAGCCGTGGATCATTTTTATTATTTCAGATGGACTCGTGCCCGCACTAACCGATATTACCTTTCATGGACTGAACCTTGTGCCAAAATCCACCCTCATCTCAAGGAAATTCAAGTCTCCTTGGGAAGGGCTGGTTCGCATTACAGGAGACAATATTGCAATTCAAACTGGAGGCTTTGGGGAAACAGTCAAGAGTCTGGAGGCGACGGGCAAAGCCAAAGCCATCCAAAGTGGGAAGCTTCAAAGAGTAGAGCTTACCTTGCATTGTTGTGTTTGTGGGCTCTGGGAAGAGTGGAAGAAGCAGGAGGTAGATGAGGTAGACGAAGGACAGGGCATTGTACCTGAACAGGCAAGCTGTGGGAACAAAGACACAAACGCAGATTGAGCGACAAAACTCCATCGACGTGCCACTGATTCAAGTGTCTTCACTGCTTTGCGTGCGTTACATAACGTTTCACAGTAAATAAAGTGCAGAAGCTGGCAGCGCGCTCGTCTGAGATCAACTAAACACAGATTCGAAGGAAACATGTGGTGAAAGTCATTAAAATGTTCCTGGTGTAGAAAAGCTGCTCGTAGTAATAAAACGCCAGAACATTCCTCCAACTAGACTTTACGCTCACAAGTCTCATTATCTGTTCATCTGGCCTGCATCACAAAAAAAAAGAGGCCGCACTTAATTCACTCAGCAAACTGACATTTGATTTGAAGCACAATAATCACCTGATGGCTGTTAAGAGACACAATTAACTGACTGCGGTTCAGTCTGCAGGAGGAAACGTGCAGCTTTACATCACACGTGAGGATTTCATTTTAAAGGAATCTCAAACTGTTTCATGGATCGCAGACATTCCTGAAACTGTATCCTTTTTTTTTTTTTTTATGATTAAACTCTGCAAAACAAAATCTCTGAGAGTTTTTTTTATTCGCAGCAGAGCAGCATCACAGAGCAGCTGCCTTTAAAACGCATGATGTGCCTCAGAGCTTTCAAAACAGGAAAATAATTGTCTGCTTGCAAAAACTTTAAATGAATCGCAGCCGGAGCGTGAAGAGTGTGAAATGTCACGGCAAGTGTCTGACAAAGAACCGTTTGGAACAAAATGAGGTTTGATAATAATTTTTTTTTTTCATCACTTTTTTCCTTCTGGGAGCTTAAAGTTCTGGCCTGGATTGAATATGATGAATGAATGAATATGATGCTGTTAAAATTAAATGAATGACATCTGAAATAAAGGAGTTAATGTAAACAAAAACATGCTAATACACAAACAGTAAAGTCAGCTGGTGGAAGTGCCTTTAAATTGGAAAAATGAACTGTATGAATGACTTTTTAAGTGAAGTGCAAATAACACTAGAGCTAAAATGAGAAGTCAATTAATTGATTAATCCATTCATACAAAATAAATTGGCAATGATTTTGGTCATTTATTCATTATTTGATTCATTTTTTTAAGGTAAAACAGATTTGTTCGTTTTTCTCTGTTTAATATCATTTTGGATTATTGATCACACTCAAGTTTTAAAAGTTTTCTTTAAAAAAACAAAAAGTAAAAATGCAACTTTTTTTTCACAGCCAGAAACTGTAAAACCCAAAAATTATTAAACCTTCAACTCCGTACTGTTTTGGGTTGTTGTTTTTTTGTTTTTTTGCTGCTGTTATTGTTTTTGCAATATTTTCACAGTAATTTCTGTAATTCCAATTTTATTCAATTCATGTTTTATATCAATTAAAATGAAAAAGAAATGAGTCAAATGAAAGACCAGTGTCGTTTCTGACTTTGTGTAAGTAAAATAAAGAAACTGAAAACTTGTTTCCAGAGTTGTTTGGTGATTTTTGTGTTATAAAAAATGCACATGGGGCTAATGTGACCTGAGCAGGTGATGGTTCAAATCCCGGTTGAGGACCACGAGGTGGATCTCATTCCCATGTTGCTTTCCTCTCTCCCTGTCAAAAATCAAACATCTAAAATATTTTGTCTATTAGAGCTCAAACTTTTTGAGCCACGACCCCCAAGATAACAAGTTTGTGTTCGTGACCCCCCCAAGTTGAATTTTTAATATGGCACAGTACTAACTTTGTTGTTCATGATTTAAAATGAATGTGTTAATTCCACAGATTCATCTCTTCACATTAACACGTTAATTTCCTTTTGAGTGAATGAATGAATTGAATTTATTTCAAACAAATGAAAGGGGAAAAAATATATAAAAACAAAAGAAAATAATTGTAAAAAGAGCAAACAAGAATAATAATATCACATAATCAAATCAGAATATTAACAAGTTCCAAAAAAGGAGTGGGAAGAAGTATACACTTTGAATTTTGACATCACTAATCCAATTTTTTTTTGGATAAATGTAGGCTTTCTTTTTATTTTTATTTTCTTTTATTTTTTTTTACAATGATCTGGCGAGCCCCTGAAATTATCATGGGACCCCCATGGGGCTCCCGACCCCCGGTTTGAGAACCACTGTATCAGAGCTTGAATAGTTATTAATTGGTACTTATTTGGATAATTAATAATTTAGGCCAAACATTTTTGGTTCCACTTTCCCAATTTTATATCATAATAAAATGACTATCTTTGGACATTTTTCAATGTTTTCTGACACTTTATTAGAACCAGTTATGAACCTCTGAACTGATGATGACGTTGCAGTCCTGCTTTCATTTAATGCACTGTTTCAGTATTTGGGATGCGTCGGTACACTTGACACTGGATTACGTAACTCCCCTCAGTAACCTTTTCCCCGAACACCACCAACACGCCCCGTTCAGGCACGTGATGAAAGTCTTTTGGTCTCATGATGAAAGTTAAAGCGCTTAAGTGCAAACATGACTTCCAAAAACCATTAATTGACGTATTGACCGGCAACACTCCTCATTTCCCTTGTCAGGCTGACCATCTGCCCCGGTCGAGGCTTTTACCAGTTAAACAGCTCACATCGCCTGCTGACTAAACATCAATTAACGCGTCCGATATAAACCACACTACCTTCAGGTGAAGCGCATTCTCAAGTTTCAAACAACCCAAGAACTTTACGGCGTCAAATCAGGTTATTGTTGATGGTTTATCAAGTTCTCCCGACACGATAAGCTGCATAACCTCTTCTTTGAACATTTTTACGTCGGGAGGCGAGGAGGGAAGCACACAGTGACTCTGTGTAAAATGTGGACACACAGCCTGACCTCCCAAATTTTCTTTGCGGTTATATCAACAAGCGCAGAGTTTACAGGCCGGTCGGCTACACGAGTTATCGTCTGACTCACAGACATCGGCAGCTACTGGTCTTGAACTACTGAAAAATTACACTTAACTGCTGAAAATGGTGCTTTTATTTATCTTTGCGCACTCAATGGACCTATTCATTGACATTTGACTTGGCTCTGACTTCTCCCTTGCTGGAGCCCTGCAGTAAGTGCTGCTTTTCTCTTTGCTCAGACAGAGAAAACTAACAAAAGTTAATAAATGCTACGTGGGCCATCTTCAGGCAAATCACAAACATCTGTAGGTTATCGCTGTGATTAGCTGCATGAATGCTTGGCATGTCAAACAGACAAACCACAAATATAAATGGCATTTAAAAAAAGCAGTTATTGTTCCCATTATTGTTTTCTTTTTTTTCAAAAACTTCTTAACAAGTGGATAGTTTTACAGCCTAAACCTCTGGGGTGAATCAGGAGAGAATGACTCACAATCTCTTAAATGCATCATTTCTATCTCCACCCACTGCATTTTTATCTCCATTAAATGTGGCATTAAATAAGTTCTAAACGTGCCAATTTTGCCCAAGTTGGCAGCCTGGGGGTCTGCTGCCATGATTATGCATCACCTCAGATGCTAAAGTGACTGTAAATACAGATAATCTTTGTGTATCTACATGGCTCTGCTCCCCCTGCGAGCCTGAGACACTTGACCACACTCTTCCTGACCGTTTGCCTTTTGCTGTATGACTCACCCACCGAGGATTTTTACACAGGGAATGAAAATAAACCACTGTTGTTGTCGGTCATCAGATTACAGCAAAAAATCCCCATTCATGGCTGAATCACGCTTTTGTCTCTCCCCAGTTAAAGCTATTGTTACACCAAACACTAAGAGAACCAAAGCAGCCGTTTAATGCGGAGTCAGGTCCGACTGATTTCAGAATTTCAGGCCCCAAATGTGATAAAAACACTGATAGAAGATAAAGCGATGCAGTGCCAGGCCAAACCAAGCACCGGCAGATAACACAGGAATTCAAATCCTTCAGAAGAGAGTAATAAAGAGCAAACCGCATCCACTGTTTTCACCACAGTGGGAAACACTGAAACTAGATTTACCTGGAAATCTTAACAAATTTTAACTAACAGCAACTGCTTCCTGGGTGAATATATGACAGAACACATCTTCAAGGAGCAGCTCATTTTTCTCAGCTATGTTAGTTTTGTCAACCCATGATTTTATTTTATTTTTTCACTATTCCTTTGATCTTTAGCATATTAAAAGTTTGCAGTTGTTAAGCTTCTATATTATAAAGTGATGTCTTGCTGCTGTGTTTACTGTCACAGAAGACAAACCTGAAAATAACATGTTTGATGTCAATTACATTCATTTAAATGTCAGCTAGAATATAACCAAAGCACAAGGTGAGATATTTAGTTTAGTGTCAGATTTGACAAAATAAAGTATGAAATGCGAAACTAGAAAAAAAAGCAATTATTTGGTTGAAAAATAACAAACAATTAACTGATAATCAAAATAGTTGCCCAGTTAGTTTTGTGGTAGAACAGTTATCCTCTGATCATAAGGTCGGTGGTTCGATCCCCGGCCCCTCCACAGTCGAAGTGTCCTCGGGCAAGACCCTGAACCTGAAGTTGCTCCCAGTGGCAGGCAGCACCTCACATGGCAGCTCTGTCGCCACTGGTGCATGAATGTGTGAATGGGTGAATAAGAAAACATTATAAAGCACTATATAAGTGCAGTCCATTTAACATAAGTTTCTGTTGATCAGCGTGTCCGTTAATTGACTGATCGTTGCAGCAGCTCCACTAGAAACTAATTGATTACCTCTTTATCAAAATTGCTGCCAATTTATTTTTCTGTTCTTTCATTTATGTGTTGCCTGCCTGGTGTTTGTTTGTTTTTTTTTAATTCAATTTAATATACAATGCTAATATAACAACCTATCAAACAAGCTTGCTAATGCTAGAAGTTAGCAGAAGCTAACTGTTACTAAAGATTGGCCACTGAGTTCAAATGATAAATAAACTGTAAAATTGAATATTCAAGCTACAGTAAAAGCAACATAAGAGGAACAAAAGTAAACTGAAATCATTGGCTTGGTAATGGAACTGAAATGTATTTGCTAACATTAGCCACCGTTAAATAGATGAAGTTACAGCTCATACCAGACAACTGAAGGCTGTTTTTAAAGTTTAAATGTATTTAAATGAGCAAAGGTGTGTTTTAATTCGTCAGCTGTAAAAGACAGATGTGGTGTTTGTTGTTTTTCTTTCAAAAATGACATTTATTGTCAGTAATTTTTAAAATTGTACTGCTGGCACGATTAAAGCAGTTAGTTTCACTCTAATAATGATATGCTAATGTACAGCGATTGATTTTAGGTTTTGGATTTGTTTTGCCTCCATATATCGAGGAAAATGTCCCAATTTTGAAATAATGCAGATGTTGTTTAACTACTATGACGTTTAACTACCTACGAATGTGAACTCTCCACAGAGAACACCAAAGCTTCAAGCAACTGACACTAAATAGTAATTTTGTTTGGGGTTATTCACAACTTTACTTTTGTTTTACTTGCATAGAGAGTTAATTAGCTGAAGAAATAATATGTAGTTTTTCCATTCTTATGTCTAAAATTATTCCCAAGCATGATAAAATTATGGTGAAACTATCTGAAGCGTGTGTGGACCAGTGATACAGGGTGTTATTTGTGTTTTCTTAACTGTTTTCCTGCACAGACCTTTGATTAATGTCCAGGTTTTACCTTTTGTGATTCATTTTTTGACGGCTGTTTTCTCTTTTTTCTCTCTCACATAATCCTTGACTTTAAACTTATTTAAAGTTTAAGTTATTTTCAGAGATAATTCTTCTGTTTCTGGTTAGGTTTACACACTTTAATTTGATCACTGTGTCTGCCTTTAAGATTTGCGATTAAACAGCAGAGCATCCATCGATCAATGTTTTCACAAATTTATCACTTTCAAATGAAAAGCGCCACCATTCCTGGGATGCTCCCTGCAGCGAAGCATCGTCATCGGCTGAACATTCGCACCCACAGGTTCAGTATCAGATCAGACATTTGTGGAAGTGCATGCTCAAAATAATGTTCACACTCCAAAACTCTGGCTGTAAACACATAAACAGCGGCCTGTTTGATCAGCAAAAACTGTAGCTTGTGTGCAAATCGTGTGTGTTTGGTGGTGGTTGAGGGGATTGTGTACACAGGGGCAGCAGCAGTTCGGTGCGTTTCAATAGAGGTGCTGTCAGATGGCCAACAGGAAACACAGACTATGTAACGTCGGCAGACGAGTCTTTCACTATGACACGAGAGGAGAGACAGTCTGCGACATATATTACATGTACAGCAACAGTAATGAAGGTGTTTGGGGTCAGATAACATCTGCTGTGCTGCAGTTTGTTTCCTCTCTGTTTATTTAGCACTGAGAGGCCATAAAATATTTATTCTACTATCCAAAAACTGGCAAAAAGACATCAGATGCAATCTGTAAAACATAAGAAACAGCATGACAGCCTGCATGACTTGATACTGTTAAAGTTAAAGCAGAAACAAAGGAATGAAACTGCCCATCAGCTGATGCTGTCAACAGAAATGTTATCTGTGATCCCTGACGCTGTCTGTCGCTGTATACGTTCCTTTCTTTCCGCTTTGCACTTCCCTCATCCTGTCAGCTACTGTGTGCAGCTGCACTGAATGACAAGTGCTCATTTGCACTTTGAAAAAACATAAAATATTAAAGCTATGTTTACGATAAAAGGGAAGGCAATTCTTCTCTCCCTCACAACCGCATTATTAATTCATACTGTTAAAACGACTTTCCACGAATTAATGGAGACAATGCATGGCCTCACAATTGCTTTTGGAAATAAAGGGGGCGTCGGGCTGTCAAATGATGCATTACGGTGGTACTGAGTGGGTCTTATCTATAGAAAGCATGCTGTTAGCTTTAAAAGTACCCCCGGCCTCGTAAGTCTTACGCAGACACCACACTGGAACCTCAGTGGCAGTTTGATGCTAATCATTTTTCACTTGTGGCCTACCACAGGATTACAGCTTCTAACGCAAAGTAAACCGCGTTTAATTTAAAGAGTCTGCATCCAAAGTGCCACCACACCACGAGCATCATCTTCTTCGACAAACTCTGCGTTTAAGTGTCTTCTTCAGGCTGTTTAAAGTCCCAAAAAAAGCTGTCAGGTTAGACAGCATGAATCATCTTCTGCATCTGCATAGCAAAGGAGTGAATCAGGCAGAAACTTTCACTAACACTCAGCTTCCTCTGCGTGGAGCGTGTTTCTTAACAGAGTTATAAATTCAGTAAACAAACCAAAACTGTGCGTAAAACTAAAATAAAAAAACTACTCTGCTGACTGTATCTCAGAGGAATGTGGAGCAGCACAGGACATGAACGTAAATGTTAAATAATAGCAATAACACTGTCGGCAGCAACGGCAGCACTGATGATTCATTAACAACCAATAGGCGAAACTCAGAAGCCACCAATGGAAACCACAGATTTAAATGATCAAAAACTATAAAGGCAACGTGAGTATTTTGTGCTACATCCCTGCACTGAAATTAAGTTTTTGGGTTTCATTTAGAGAGAAACACAACAGATCAGACTACAATAAAACCAGAAATAACAATTTAAGTATTTCAAACCCTGAAAGACCAATTTTTAACTTATATTTGCCAGACTTTTCCAATTGTTCACTGAACACTTTGACGCACACTCTGCAGAGACTGGACGCCCTGATGTCAGCTGTGTCTCCTTTACTAGATCCAATAAAAGGTGACTGAAAGCTGTCAAATGCCTGCTCTGCTTTGCAATCTGTTTAAAATAGGTGGTTAAGACTCTCTAGACTATCACTCATTGCTTGGATTAATTGTTTTGGGGCAGCAGACCTGAGGAATTAACTGTGACCTCCAGCATCATGAGGTCAAACACATATCACCATGAAAATCAATGACATGTTCACACCAGAACAAATCTGATTGATGCTCTTAAACCTCCTACATGTGGAATATTATCAGAATTGGGCTGTAATATAGGGAAATTTGTCGCTTTTTTTAATCAAAGGTAAGGACTTCAGAGAAGAAAAACAAGAGCACAAGTTGCAGGAATAACAACCAAATCATCTAACTTCACCTGACACACACACAAGCAACACTGTGGGTCACTTAAGATGCGTAAAAAGTGGAGCTTGAGGAGAAAACTCACCGGCTGCGAGACACACTGGCAGCAGCAACCTGAAGACGAGCCCGCACACGGTTTCAGAGGCCATGGCTCTGGGCAGCCCGAGTTGAATCCAGGTAAAAGAAGCCGAGGACTGTCTCTCTAAGGTTTCTCTCGCATCCCAAACTCCTGCGCTCTGTCAAATCCCAGCTGGCGTCTCCAAACGGCCACATCGGCTCTGCCCTGATGACACCTGGACTCCGGTTATTCCACAGTGAGAGGCGGCGGCAGCAGGTACGTCGCCTGGAAATAATGTCACCATGATAGTTTAGTCGTTCAGACGCGTAAAAGTCATGGTGAGGCTGCACAAACTGAGCGTCCGGACTCAGGTGCGCAAACAGCTGCGCGTAAAAAAAAAAAAAAAAGGAGATAAGAGCCAACAAGTCCTCAACCCCAATTAACCTCCCTTTTTCAAACAACAAAACCACATGAATAATAAATCTTGAAAGTCTCCCACAGTCAAACTACACTTTCTGAACTGTGCGGCGTTAGAAGGAGATGCAGAAGCGCTGCGTAAAACTACTCCTCTCCTTTAAACCCCCTGGTGAAATTTGACTTTCTGACTTCTGGTGTTGGACCGTATTCGCCAACAGGAGGATACAGGACGAGCCGGTGATTGACAGCGGGTTCAGCCAATCAGAAGTGTGCGCCTGGCAGACGGTCCAGCCCCCTGGGATAATTGGAAGCAAGAGGTGGGACGCAGAGATGGATGGAAATACAGCAAGAAAATTTTAAAAAGATAACCTTCCCCTCAATGCTGCTGATGTTGTTTGATTTTACCAAAACAAATTCTCATAGTTTGATATTTAATCTGCATCAGATATAAACATCAAATCACCAATTCCAGGAAGATCTCACGGATTTCAGGACACTTTCACTTATGTCACTTCAGGTCCAGCTGTTTCTCAGAGACAAACAGCGACGCCTGCTGGTGTGACAGCAGCCTGCACACACCCAAAGCAGCACAATCACTCCAATCTAATCCGGGTTACCACAAACAAGGGCCTGTCACAGCTCTGCCCGGGGGCAGGAAAATTTATTCACCGAGATGTTTTCAGCTCTTGAAATGATTATGAATGATGCAGCAGAAGCATGTTCCGTGGTTGCATGTAATCTAGTTTCTGACTGGATAAACACACATGCATCATGAGTCAAAACCTCAAAACAAAAGGGCCCAGAGCTTGTTTTTGAACTTCCCAAACCCAGTGTGTTGGGGGCATTTCAGTTGACTTGCATCACTGCGGTGTCAGCTGTTAGTGGGATGCAGCTGCAGAATCGACCTCTCACGAGAAACAAACTGAATCCCAGATGTTGTTATAATTCAAAATAACATTCATGGAACATTTTTAAGCAATTTTTACTTCATATTCTTTTGAAACATTTTAACTTAAAAGCCACAAAGCAAATTTCAGTATGTTGAGAAAAACACTAAAATGTGTCCATTTAGTTTGAAGCTGGCTGAAAGAAAATTAGCATAGCTTAGCATAGACACTGTAAACAATAGGAAAGTGCTAGCCTAGCCTAGCGCTCAACAAACTCCAAAACATAAATAGCAGCACCTCCAAAGCTCAATAATCTAATTTATCCAAGACTGAAATTTTTATTTTTTTTTAAACTTGTTGTGAAAGTGAATGAGTAGTTGCTAGGCAACCGTCACAAAGAGGCTGCACAGATAGAGCAGCTTCTTCTTAAACCTCAAACTGTCATTTTAACATTTCTGTTTGTGCACAGATTAAACAACAGTGTTAATCTGTGAGCTTCAGGGATATTAGTTGGCAGATTTTTTTTTTAACTCTGGAGAGAGCCGAGCTACCAAACTAGCCTCCAGTCCTCATCACATCTGAGCTCCATCCTCATATGTACCACAAAAACATAAAGGTAGTCTCATCTAATTAGCAGAAAGAGCAGAAGTAGGAATATTTCCCAGAGTCTGAGTGACTAATTAAAGGGGGAAAAAAACACAATATAGAGTATAAAATAGAAGAAGATAGAGCTCAGAATAGCTGCTGCTAACTCCCAAAGTTTTGGGATCGCCTTCCCTGTTGCAAATAAACGTTCCTCCGTCTTGAAAAATCTCAA